TGTCCTCATTACTTCCACAGCATTTGTTATCTTCAGTAAGCAACTTAATACTTCCTCCACATTCATGCCCTGCCTTCACTTTTTTCTCCCCTCCAGGCCTGCGTAAATAACGAGGAGCCAGAGGATGGATAAACCTTGCACTCCACCATCAAAGGTGCTACAGGAAGCAATCCCCTGTGGCCTGGATCTTTGGCAGAGGAAATGCAGGATGGTGACCTCCATTCTATTTTTCATTCCTTGTCTTTTCAAATGCAATGAATGTACATTGAAGAATGGCCACACAGTTGGTTTTTAATTCTCCAAGTGCCCTGACGAACCATTCCTACCATAGTCTGGTGGTATTAGCCAATAGATGGCACGGGCCTGAAGACCTCGGGCAGAAGAAGTCTCTCCAGAGATGCAGTTGAAGTTGGAGCTGCTTCCTTGTGCCATGGATCCATAAAGAAGGAAGCACTGCAAAACACCCTGGGACATTTCCTATGTTCTGTAGTTAGCTTCTTCCCCTTCTCCTTTCCCTTGTTCTGAAAAGAGCCTAAAACCCCTAACACAACTTCATTTCCTCCCTGCCTGTATAGAACTAGGTGGGGGCTATTTACATTTGAGTTTAGTCTTTTTGGTTTATTTTGGTTTTTTGTTTATAAGTTATAGATGAGAACTCTTCCCTTCTTCCCCACTGTCCATCCAGGACTCCCTTCCTCATTCTCTATCCTTTAGACATGGTCTGCACCTTAGCAGTAGGCATTTGTCCTGGAATTCAGTGTTCTGTGACCTAACTCCTATAATCCTGAACGGCTAAAAAACTAGTACAAGCACCAAATCTTTACTCAGCATGGAGCTTAGCCCCATTTCAACATGCCAAGCCATTCCCAGAGCAGCTGCAGCTTGCTCTTGGTTTGCCTATCTACATTAACTTAACACTGGTGTAGTCATATACACAGCTGAAACCTGCTGCAAGACACTGGAAAATGCCTGGTTCTTCATGGATCACAGATGTTTCCGTAGCTGCCCCCTTCACCAACCAGCCACGCTTATTCCAGGCACAAGCCTGGCAACATCCCGATGGAAGGAGTTTTTTTGTGACAGGATAGTTTTGAGGGGAGGGAATGGGCTGAAGGAAAGGGGAAATATAAATGTAATTAAGTTGCATTAATGAGCTGCAGCAATTAATTAAAAAACCCCAACAAACAACAAAATGCAATGTCAGTTTTGTTAGCTATGTCTCCCAGCATGTTTAGTGTCAAGTGGAGAAAGAGCAGTGGTCAGCCATCCATGGCTTCTTTGGCTGATATGTTCCAAGTGCTGTTGTAATTCTTTGTCTTGCCTAATCTGTTTTTGAGTTTACTTGGCATTTTTGAGGAACGCTTTTCAGAAGAGTCACACTAGATGCCATGCTAGGGAGGAGAAGTGTGAGGGCAGAATTAAAGTAAATAAAAACATTAAGTGCTAAGTCAAAGACAGAATGATGCACCTTTCTTTGTCCCATTCCAAAGGGCCCAAGAAGCAAAGTTCTCTTCCATGAGCTGAAAAGTTTAAGCACTAAGACAACATTTTTTGTTTCTGTGCAACTTCCATTCCAAGTACTCCCTGCAACCTAACATCCTGAGTTCTGATCAGGTGCAGCTGCAAGAAAAAATGTCTTCCTTAAGTTGTTGGGTTTTGGGGGGGTTTATTTTTGTTTGGTTTTTGTTTGTTTGGTTTTGTTTGGGTTTGGTTGGTTGGTTTTGGGGTTTGTTTTTGTTTTGTGTTTGTTTGCTGTTTTTTTTCCCCTCTTTTTGCCAGTAGAAGCCACAGCTTCTCACTGAGCAGAACAGACAACTGACAGTTACTGGCTTGATATTAGTTTCATAATTTGAGGGGAAAAAAAAAGCTCAACCCTCTTTAAAACAGTGCTGCCTGAAAAAACATAACTACCTCCCTTAATAGTCAATACTGTGTTACTACCAAGTTAAAAATACAGTAGAACACAAGCTACTATACCATTTAGACACTACACACAGGAGTGCACATACACCATCTCTTAGCACTTTTTCCACCTCTTCTTCAATTTGGTTCATTTCTGTATTGCACTCCTTCCTACCTGCCCACCTGATGTTCCCTGGAAGGGCAGAAAAAGGAATAGGAGAATAAATATCCTCTAGTCACAGATTTTTCCATGAAATACTTCATTTATATAGGGCTTTTGAAATTAATCTTCCCTTTCTTCATCATAAAACACTGACTTTACACTTTTTGGTTTAATACTATTTCTTTCCCTGAGAAAGAAGTGTTGTCCATCAGATACTAGCATTCTTTATTGGCCTTGTTTGAGAGTAACCAAAATTCAGCACAGGTGGTGGAGAAAGCAGTTTCAGCTCTGAACAGCTGAAACATTACACTGGTAGTTTCAGGAAGGAATTCTTCTAGATGGTAGTACACAGTCAGAAGGAACTCTGAATTATTCTGAGGTCTGTATACTTTTACCACTATTATCTCTCCAACTGACCAAGCCTTGACATCACATGTACTAAAAAAACTGATCAAAACCATTTACCAAGTACTCTAAAGAGACTAAGCATCAACCTCTGCACTTAATGGCATGCCTCTTGACTTTAATACACACTAGTAAAGATGAATTAAATAAATACAACTGTAATGACCGAGTAGCTTCATAACTACCACCCTGTGTTATGACAAACACAGGTAATTAAGTATCTTTCAATAGAAGTAAAATAAAGGTTCAGGTAAGCCTGTAATATGTAGTATCAACAATTGCCATAAGTCATCAAAAGAAAAAAAAAATCAGTCTGAGAAGAAAGAAAATAAGACAAACTGCCAAGGGTCATATCCCACACTTAATTACCTCCTCTAGTTTTCATTAGCAGAGACATTAATCCTTCATACTCTGACAACTCTTCCTCCTGGTCTGCCTGTGTCACACATAACAGAAGGACTACAAGGCCACACCATGGCCGCGTTCTGTTAGGGTAGGGACTCCCAGTCGTTTGCACCTCCAATGTGCTCTAAGAGTGAGGAGCTGCTGAAGGTTTTGCTCGGGTGGGTTCCCTTATGGCCAGGTTCAGAGTGCCCTCTATTGGGGATAGGCATCACTGGGGATACTGCTAATCAAAAAATAACAGGTACCTGTTTCTAAAGGCATCTTCCCATAGAAAAAACAGCTCCCCCCTTCCAGATGTGAAAAAGCCACAATTTTCAAGTGTTAAATAAAAGAAGCCCAGAAATAGCTGGTATATTTGCAGCCTTGCAGTCCTGCTGATGCTCAGGCTTCCAGCCACACTGAGCTGAAGTTTAAGAGGAAATGCTACTACTCCAACACTGACCTGGTTTTGTTTTCCCTTCTCAGATTAGCACATCTACTTAAATGTAAGCTTTTGCTTAAAATAAAATAAAACAGAGGCAAAATAACGCAAATAATAGTTTGAACTGACACACCTAATTGGGCATGGTGGTGCAATTCTGTTCCCTGTGAAAGCTGCTGTCTGGCAAAACCCCACCAATTCCTCCAGGAGTTGGAGAGTTTAAACTGTTCAACTAGTAACTTCTCTCACCTTTGCCCAAAGCTGTGTTAATATTACCTTCTTCTGAAGGGAAAGATGAAGGTATCTGTCCTCAAATAACTCACACCTCAGAGTTACTCAGAGTCAAGCCTATAAACCTGTTCAGTACCCAGGATTGGAACCAAACAGAAGCAACTCCAGAGCCAGTGCTCCAGTCTCCACAGATCTGTTTAAGAGCCATGTACCAAAACTCTGCATCAAGTTTAGGTGTAGAATTATTCCCTACTTACACAGCTTTGTGTATTGGGTCCTTATTCTCCTGCATCCTTGCACCTTCTTTTGCTGTTAGAGGAGTCTGGAGGATGCACATGCTGTCTCATGACTTCCAAAGGAAGTTAATGGATGGCAAGAACAGTTACTTCTCTCACTTGTGCCCACATAACACTCAAGGACAGAAGTTCAAGTGATCTGAAACCTGATGCTCCTGTAACATCTTAGGGCACTACCACACCCTGTTCCCCAGTAGGGCATTACACTGGAATCAGATACGCAGACCTTTGGAAGATAAACAAAAGAAAAATTTTATTTTGTGAAAAAGAACAGTTAAATTTAAAAAAACATACTTCCATTCCCTTGCAGCTAACAAGCTATAGTATTGACAAAACTTTCTCTTTCTGGTTACATGATAGAATGTTCCATTTAAAATTAGAATCATCAGTTTAGCCAGCAAACAGAAGTCCTAAAAAGGTAAGTTTCCATAGTTACCTTCTAGTAGGATGGTACACAACAGCCAGGCTCTGGAAGAAGCTTCCAGGAGATCTAGTGACCCTGACCATCAAAGAGCCTTTAAAAAACCTTCTGTTCAGGGAGGTCAGCTGAGAGTAAGTAGGTTGGAGAGTCTACTATAGGCCAGGCTTTTCACTCAGTTATGTGGATTTGAGTATTACCAAAACATTCTGTCAATTGTTGAAAGTTAAATGAGGGGTGGGGGAAAAGACAGCAAAGAGCTCAGAAGAAAAAGCTATGTCTTCCCTTCCCCACAATACATTGCTGCCAAGTATTCTGTCTCAACAGAATGCATTTCACATAAAAACACGCCCATTTTGACACAGACAAAGGAAGCCATCAACCCTAGGAGCATAATCTCTAAACTTCTAAATGAGAAAGAGCCCTTGATTTCATCACAGAGCAGGGATTCATTTGAAAATGCAAGAATTTGGAGAAGGAGAATCTCTGTCAATACAGCCTCTTTTTGGAGGAAAAAAGAAACTAGCAGAGTTTTTCTGGAGCAGTCCTACAGCAAGATCAGCAAGAGCACAGCAAACCAGCAACTCTTACTAGAAACACTGTACATAGGAAGCATATTTAAGTAAGTTGTTACATTTATGCCAAGCTACCCTGCAAATAAGATGGCTCCAGCATCAAACTATTTACTTATTTTCTTCCTCTGCTGTGTTATGAATGAGTTGTATAGACTTATGTCTTTCCCCTTAGGCATATCATGGTTCAGGACATGAAAGTCTTCACACTTCCCCGGATGACCGCTCTGCAGATAGGACACAATCTCAAATTGAGGGCACATTCTCCACAAGCTACCAGGTGGCCACAAGGAACAAACACAACAGACACATCTCTGTCCATGCACACTTTGCACATCTTTTCCTCTTGCAGCCGTCGGAGCTGTTCTTCTGTGCTCATCCGAGACTCATCTTTACCAAAAAAAGAAAACAAAAAACCCCCAAACTGTTAGTGTTACAAGAACCCCAGAGTGCCAGTCCTGCCATCTTCAGAAGTCACACTGTAAGTTGCTCATCATTTTGTTCAGAGACTGACTGCAAAGATGGCAAAAGTACCTCTCAGGCAAATTTCATTTTAAAAAAACCTAACCAAAACAAAACCACAGCTATTACAGACTGTCTCACCTACACACAATTCAGCATATCTACACATGCTGGACCGAGCAGGGACAGAGATCGACATCTTTTTATCATAATACATAAATTACCCCTAGCAAACCAAGTTTTTTTTGTATAACAGCTTGCTTCACAGTAGAACTCTAATTCCTGAATAAGGATCTCTATGTTCTGTTACCATTCAAGCTATCTCACATTCTTCTTCAGGATTAAAATTAATACAATGACCGCTGATACCATTACTATAAAAACCATCCCAATTATGCCTAGGCTCAATTTCACCACCACTGTCAGCCCAGTGCACCTGATTCCTTTTGTTGCACAGCTGGCATTTCTTCTCTTGAACTTGATGTTTCAGTCTCTCTCTGAACAGCATCTGTATAACCAGGAAAGAAGATGGCATTAAATGCTACCCCGTTCCTCCCTCTTCAGACAGTGCTCTTTAAAAACATGAAAAATCCCAGATTTCAGCAGCCTTGGATCAAACACCTCTTGATTCCACTGTTAACTGCACACACTCAGTCTGGTAAAGCTGATGTTCTCTATGGTGCTTTAGTCACTGTGTACATTCCACATCACACCGTGTCCTCAAAGTTGGCTTATCTATCAGACAGCAGGAACCATCCTGCTACCATTTAATCACACTTGATTTTGTGGAAATTTATTTTTTGTCTTAACTAAAGAAATGGCAGATCACAATATGGAGACAAGAGCTTTGCAAAGCAGGCTGGCTACCTGAGAAAGCCTGTGTGGATTTGCATCTTCAAATGAACTTCACTTAGCAAACAGACTCCACAAAACACATAACACAAGACAGACCTAGATCAGTTAAGGAGAATACATATTAAAGCAAACAAGAAGTATTGCTATTTCTGATCAAATCACTGATTCAATTTTAAATAGGCTTGGAGTACTCATCCATCCTAGAAGCCTTGCTTCAGACAACTGCCTCTGTCTGCATCAGATGTGAATTGGTGCACAAGCCTCCACATTGTGCAGCTGCCTGCTACTGCAGGTCTAAGAGCAGCAGAAAACACTGAGGATTATCTACACCACAGCCTATTGGAGGCAGATATAGTTACTGATACCCCAGTAATCACAGTTCCTTCAGATTTCTTTAATGCAGAGCCTCATTCTTCAGCCTCTCAAAAAAAGGCAGGCTTGAGTACATTACTTTTAAATCCAGCCTAGGAAGAGAGAAAGCAGACCCACAAGACAACAGTGCCCAAGATGAAGTGAATAAGAGGGTAAATATCCACCACCAACGTGGTCATGTGAGTCAGGCATACCTCTACTTTCCTCTGCACTGCTGCTCTTTTCCCAGTCTGGCTGAAGCAGATCAGAAATCAGTTCAGACTCAGAAAGGTAGAAAGTCCCAGTCAGTATGTATTTATTCTCTACCAGGTTAGCCACCCAGGTGGGGTCAAAGCCCATCTGCAGGACATTCTGCACTATGGTAAACTGTTTCAGAGAAGGAAGAGCCTGCAACTCCCAATTCCTCAGAGGATCTGTAAAGCAGTGAGCAGATACTTTACAAAAATGCAAAACTTTGGGCAAAAAGTGTGCCACTCCCTGAAGCTGATATAAAATGGCTTTAATTTATTCTAGAATATTCCACAAACTATCCATCTAGCTAGATCAACATCCAGATTTATAGTTTTTACTTTCAATTATGACTTACAAGAAAGGCATCAAAAGCCATTTCATAAGAGCCAAGAAACTAATTTTGGATGGTTTATTCTAACGTATCAGTGAACCAAGTTTCCCATGTCTGGCCCCAGTCCAGAATCCTTATCTTTGTTTTCACATCCCAGAACTGAAGTCTCAAAACTGCTTTTATGAAGATGAAGTGGAACATCCTAATTGAAGTCTCTCCTACCTCATAATCTAGCTCAACCATTCATCAATAAAGACAGAAGTGGGAAATTCAGCTGGCAGCCTGTTCAAAGGCTTAAGTCTTTCTTAAGCTCACCCTATCGGATAGGCTCTTAAACAGAATGCGAAAAAAATCAGTTTTCCACAGTTACAGGAGCCAATTTTCACCTACTTAAGTTTCCAGGAACAACTGATGAATGGCAATAGATCCCCAGGATCAACACTTTCCTGAATAACTAAATCCTCTAGCTGTTCTCTAGTCTCCTATCAGTTATGTTTAAAATGCTGTAGTATGGAAGACTCCACAGACATACAACATCAAGAGCATGGACAAGTCAAAGGAAGGTTAGACAAGCACCCAAAAGTCACATGATTATGCAGACTAGCTAAAGGTCTCTAGTCTTAGACTAAGAGGCCTCACAAGAGCAAGTAATTTTGCTTCTTGTACTAGAGACTATTTCCTAAAAAAAAAAAAAAAGTGAAACAGCTTCTAGAATACCAAAACATCTCTCAAACACCTTGTCTACAGAGCGCACAGTAGCTGGGGTGAGATAGAAGCAGCAAGACTACACCACTTTCAACAGAAGCCAAAATATCATGTAATTATAGCACTGACCTTGGGAAGCGGAAAGATCTTGTTCGGTATGAACCCAGGAATCTCTCTGAAAATGTCAGAAGACAGTCACAAAAGAGAAGCACATGTTCAACACTCCCCCATCTACCAAACTCCCATCCACTACACACAAAATATTGATGACTCACTGGAGATAGCAGGGTGCTAGAAAAGGACTCCTGAACACTGCTAACAAATTCTCTCCCCTTTGACAGCAATAAAAAGTCACACCTAGAAGCAGAAACAGTTAAATACATTAGTACAGGGTATCAAGTAAGAGTAGCAGTTGTAGTTTGACTTTTAAAGCAAATAAATCCATATATCCATACAGAAAGAAAAATCTAGAACCAAGCTAATAACAGAGCCTGGAAGCAGTGTTTATTATCAGTATACCTGCATCTCATTTGTCTCTCAATTGGGAGTAATTCTGTCTTATGGAAGAAATCAATATGGAATGCACACAATCTTTTGGCCTTGCTTCAAGGGACATTTGTCAACCAAGACTGACTTACCCTGGATACCATTTGGCATGTTCCCTCCAAGGATCATCTCCAAATGACCAGCTCCTCACACCTCCACCACAGTAAAAACACCTCACTACATCACCTTGTCCTGAAAAAGACAAAGAGATTTGGCATCTGAGACACTGTACGTTCCACTAGCCCTGGATGAGAACCTGGGGAAAGATTCAGCACAGGGCACAGGCTACCAGACAGAGTGGATGAGCACATGACAATTTACTAATGCTATACAAGTTGTATAGGGGCAGGAAATCCGATGAGAGTTTGAAACGGAGCTGCAGCTGGTTGAGATAATTCCAGAACTGGGTCACAAGCTAACAGGCAGCATACATGTGAGCACCGCAGCTCCCATGTATGCACATACCTATCCAGTCCCTTCTTGCCTGCATTTATAGCAGAGCTGTAATTAATTATACCTATAAACATGCTTTGTTTCCTAACCACAATCTGCCCTAAGCAGCAGCAGGCATGGTCAGATGACATACACAGCTTTCATCACCTAGGTATAAGAATTTGGCACAACACGGCCCCAGGCTTCTCATCCTGCTACTGTGCTTCTCTTCACAGAAATGATGGAGAAGAAAAGTTACAGCCAAACACAGTGAAGAATAACTGCCTACAAATGCCCTGCCCTAAGGGCAATGAAACAACATCAGTAAAGGCTGCCAGTGAGTTCAAGTCAGAGACACTATCTTCCAAACACTCTCATGTTAGAGCACTGTGTGGCTTAACTGGAGTGCTCAGTTCCTGAGCTGTCCTGCTTAAGGAACAGCAGAGGAGCGCCATGTCAGACTGCTGCTGCCTAATGAGTCCCCAGAGCCTCTGTGCTGGGCTCTCAAACAGCTGCTCTGCAAGTGATTAACCAAGCCCAAAGCAAAACACAAAGGTTTTTAGCTGCAGACACTGCTTTATAGTTTATTCTGTGTTCCTGGCCATGCTGGTCTTGTGTGCTTTAAAAATTAATAAGAAAAAAGCAGCAGGTAAGCTAATATGCCTATAATACTCTTCTATTTCGGCCTGCATGCTGTTTAGTCCCTGCTGTTGTGCTCCAAGTAGGCAAGTACAGATTCTTAGTATTAACTGGATCCAGGTTATGCAATTTGAGTGAAAATCTTACAGAAACAGAGACATACTAGCAAACTAACTAGTCACTTCTAACTCAAGCTAAAAGAACCGAAGGTCAGTTATTTAGACAGACTTTCCTACCTGCATATCTTTCACTGTGTTGCATCTCAGATTTTTCCAGCTATCACAACATTTAAGGCTGGTTTTCCCATTCTTATCTTTACCAACTAGTACTTAAATAAGGGAGAAAAAGCAATTCAATTTTACTTCAACAATGAGAGCGTGAGGCATTCAGGATGCACAGGTTTCTTTCTGCTAAAGGAAACTGACCCTGCCTGTCACTTCCTTCTGTGTCTCTGATGTGCAAATACAAAACTAATAGATTCCTTCATACGGAAGGAGTCATACTTGTAATGCACAGAAATATCACTACATTATTAGCTTTCAAAAAACAGAAGGATCTCCCCAGTTTTTAATTACAGTCAAGCATTCTGTAAATATTTCCTCTGACAGGTCAGCCTGCGGAGTACTTCAACCTATTATCTAACCAGCAAAGCCTTCTCAAGAGGAAAACAATGATGTTATATTGAAATTCACATGCATATAACAACAAGGAATATTGCTTATTTTCCTCCAAAAAAATATATTTTTTATTTCTGTATTACAAAACCAAGGTCCTTATGGCAACAAGCCACAGCAACAGCCAAATGGACTGACTAGCAACAGGTTTCACTTAGATTCATATTTTTTTGAGAAGAGAAGGCTTCAGTGCAAGACACAGCTTATACAAAACATTACATACCAAGTAAGTGCCTCAAGTCCTTTTAGAAGTGCAAGTAATAAATAAGTTCAATGGATCCTAAAGCACACACTTCTCTGCCAGTAAAACATCTGTTTAAAACATAGCCCTTTTTCCACTCCTGCTGGAAGTGACTTGCTAGTGGACACCTCAGTACCCAAACAGGAATTAACATGGAAGTGAATTCTGCACAAGCAGCAAGTGAAACAGCACAGGCTGAAGGAACGATACGATTTCTATCTACACCACACAGACTTGCAAGTATTTGTGCAAGCAACAAAACGCAGTGACACTGCCACAAGTTAATTTGAATAAAAGCTAAAAACTTTTCCCTGAAGTACCCACCTGAGTAAAAGAATCCTGCTCTAGCCAGTTGTTCTGGATGTATGTCAGTATATTGCGGCCAGTTCCGAAACGTAGATAGTCTCACCTCCTCCGTTAACATCTCTGGGTGTTCTGGTTCATTGGGCAGGGCTGTCTCCTCACTGCCTATGCCCTGCAAAAGACTGAGGAACTGCCCATCCACAGTGTCAAAGATTTCCTGAAGAGGAAGCATCTCTTGGTTCCCAACATCCTCACCACAAATGAATCTACAGGAAGGGAAGAACTTCAGGTGCTCTACTATTGGGCAGTCACCAGGTCTCCAGTCCATCAGGACACCGCCACAGCAGAAACACTGCACTTGATCTCTCGGACCCACGAAGAAAAAGCCAGCCTTGACCAGATCTCGGGCAGACACAGGTGAGGTGCCCAGCCATTGCCTAAAAGTCCTCAGTCTTTTCGCTTCATTCCTCATGCTGCATTCAAACAGCTGACAGCAAGCTGCCCCAAGCTCAGTCTCCTCTGATGGTGTCGCGTCCCCCATGGTCTTGTTCTGAAAGAGAGGATGAGATAACCCAGAGCAGTCAGCTGCATTCCCGGTGTCAGGCAGCACTCCCCCTGCGTTATTTGTTCCTCATCCCCATGCATATTCCGGAAAGCTCCTGGTCTTGACAAAGCTGAGCTTGTTTCAGAATTGCAGCCCAATCAGAGATCTGGTGCTTCTGTACTTTGCTGTTGAACTTTTGCTGAGCCCTCACCGGCATCTGAAGGGAAGAGACTAGCACTTTCTGAGCCCCTCTGCCAATTTACAGGCGAGATGCTTGCAGGAACAGATAGTGGAGGGTGAGGGCAAAACCTATGCTGCCTCCCTAGCTAAGCCAATCCAACTTTCAGCATCTGATCTGTGTGATAAATGCCCAGCCATTTTGCACAGCCTTTAAATTAACATTAAAAAGACTTTGCTTTTTTTTCTTTCCCGTAAAAACAGATTTAAGAAGGCATGTCATAACAAAGCAGAGACACACCCAGTGCCTCAATGTTCAGTTTACAGCCAAGCACTGCACAGAAGAACAGTAGATTTTCCATAACCTTATTATGCTAATTAGACAGTAACTATATAGAAACGTCTCTATAATAGAGAACTTCTCCAGGACACACTCTCAAATAATTAGGTCTGGTTTCTATAGAGAAGTGTCCTTAAATCAAAGGCAAGATGTTTTCTGCCTGTGCTAGTTCTGTGCAAGAGGAAGAGGGAAATTAAAGAAGTTTTTGAGTGCCCAATTATCCAAGCCCTCATCTTACTTAAAGTAATAGTCACAAGTAAGCTAAATTGCAACTCAGCTACTACTTCTAGTACTTTATGGCTGGCAAATACACTTTCAAAAGGTCATACAATCACAACTGGGAGTAAGGATCAATTTAACTAATCACTCCAAAGGAATCCTTTTAGAGTGAAGTCACTATACATTTGACTAAATGGTAGATACAATCAAATCCATTTTTTAAATTAAGCACCCATAAAATCCCTCCACCACCCAACTCACTAGGTCAATTCAAGCCAGGGTTGTAGGAAAAGGTGGCTCTAAAAGTTTGGTTTAGAAACTGTGCTTTAGTTAATACAATAAAGCAGTTACTCAAGAGCTACATTGCTGGTATAAAGAAAAATCCATACAGAAAGATAAAAAACCCTGAAAAAGTCACTGATACACAGCAGAATTTGCAAGCTCAGCAAATTTACGAGTATGCCATTTTTCAGCCTGCACAGCAGATTTTGCTGTCAGAACACAGCAGCAGAGACTTGTTCATCAGGCACAGCTCCACAATATCAGCATCACTCTCATCTTGGGCCCTGACAAAACAAAAGCTATTATTCCTAAACCATGACAAATGTTCTTTTCTACTTAGAAGGTGACCAAGTTGTCTTAGCCTACTTCCACTTCAGAACCACAAGTGGCTTAACAGCCAACTCAAGCTTTTTCCAAAAACAATGCAACAGAGAAGAACAAATATATTTATCTTTTGCTTATGAAGAAACCCATTATGGTTTACCTGCATTAAAGACATTTATATGCTCCACAGAGTATCTGTTAACTTCAATAACACAGCTCTCCAAACCAAATTGGTATTTTAAATAGTTACACCACCACTAAAAGTCAATATTCTCCCACAATCCACTACTTACACCTACGTAGTAATAAAATTCTAAAGCACTATAACAGCTAATATGAACAACTCCCTATGATGAGCACAATAAAAGTTAAAAAAAACCCACAAAAAACACACAAAAGCAAAACCAGAAAATAATTTACCTGCAAAATACTTTAAAAAAACCTCCCACAAACCACTTCCAAGAACTAAAACTCTCACAGTCCCACAACTTTGAAGCTACTCTCTAACTCCAAAGGGACTGTAGAGATCTTCCTAAAGCAGCAGAAACCCTCTCAAGGTGTAAGTGGCCCCACCTGACACAGAGGCCATTTCTAATGCTTCATTTTCCCCAATTGGTTGCTTTTGTGCTGAAAGTCTCTATTGGCTGAAGAGTCCACATTTCATCTATATAAGAGTCACCAGGGAAAGAAGCAAAGTTAAGCTTAAGCTTTCTATAGAATGTAAGTGTACCTTTATAATTTGAAATCTTTCTATTCCTTTGCCTTTCTGCAGTCACAATGCAGAATGAAGGATTTTAATGCTAGTTTGAAAGGTGCAATTACTTGAAAATGTGTTTTCCTTCTGCCACTTTTCTGCCTGAGAAGATGCAGGTAGGTCATTCTAAACTACGCGCTTAACAAAATGTAAGTTCTCTGTCTTCTGTGTTTGTAAAAAAAAAAAACCAAACGTAAATTAGGATTTTTCTTTTAAGAAAAAAGATCCAGAGCCCTTTTATTATAGGCAAGCCTATACAAACATTCTAATTAATGAGATGTTGAAACTTTTAATTTTTTAATTAAATATGTGTTAATGAAAATCCCTGAGCAGTAGAGGGCAGTGCTTATATACAACATTTACAGAAGCTTCTAACAAGTGAATGTGGTTCTTTTTTTTCTCTGTAATGAATTTATATGTAATTACACATTACCTTCTGCCCCACAGATCCTGTTCTTTGTAAGTCCATATTGATTTTTGAAGAATGTATTATAAAAATCTAAGATGGAGTCCACAAAATCCCTCTTGCAGAGGCAATTTGGGTTTGTAGCCATGGGAGGTAGGGAATCATCTGTGAACAGATAAGAATGATGGATAGTTTTGATCTTCTGAAGCATTTTTACAAGCCATGACCACATCTTGTATTGCTCATAACCACCTTGTTTCTCAGGTGGGATCTGGGGTGGTGTTGGGAACATGGTGAGCTCCTTGATCCGCCTTCCTCGCAGCCATGCCTTGGTCTCGCCAGCGCTCTGCAAGCAGCTCTCACCAATGCTTTCATGAAATGCTTAAAAAAATCTGCCGATGGCACAGGGTAGCACTGATGCATCATGCAAGCTTCAAGATGGGTTTAAGGTTGGTTTTCTGTGGGGATGCACTCATGTGGTTTTGGAGGAACATTTTGCCAACAAATGAAACCTCAGAAGGATGAGTGAGATGGCTGTAGCAGAAGAAAATGAAGTGACACCAAATCTGATGTTGAAAGCAATTAAAAATAGGTGACCATGCACAAATGATGGGGCTTTATTTTAGCACGCCAAAATTCTGAAAGCAACTAGCATATTCAGAAATGTGTTGTATGCATCTAATATTGATCTTCTTTAGCAACTCATATACATTTTAGGAATAAATAAAATTTATTCCTCCAAACATGAACAATCATTAATTCAGGAAGCCTGAAAAACATTGCTATAAAGAAAATGCACATACTATAAATATATACTGCCAGAACTAATGCACAGGTAACAGATACATATTTTGTGAAGAGATTTTCTAAGGATTCAGACCCTTCAATCTCCTCCCCTAATTCTTTCTTTTGGCCTCCCCTACCACAGCATCTGATTGCCTCAGAAGTTCATGTATTGCAATAGTTAGGAATAGCTAAAATGTAGCTTGCAGCATGATTCATGGAAGTGCTTAGAATCAAATACTATTAATATACCAGCCCACAGGAACAGAACACAGTGCATCTCAAAAGAAAAATCTGCAAAGCACAGCAGATACTCAAAGAATCAATAGAAGAACTGTCCTTAAAATCCTACTATGATTTGAAAGAAAAGCAAACTAACATGCTCCTTGGAGCAAGGAAAATTAAAGCTTTTCTGCCACAAGCCATTACTGTGTTTTATATTGTTTCATAACTTCATTATTTCAGTGTCCAGCCTATTACACAAAATATTTCTGCCACAGAAGATAGCGTGGGTTGAAAACTGTTCAATGCTTTTTCAAAAGGTAACTCTTCGTAGAAAAAAGCTTCTTTTTTATTTTTCTAAATGGCTTTTGGAGCTGAAAAAATTGAGAGTTTATTTTTTATGGGTCGTCTTTTCTCCTCGTTTTTCTACCCCTTCTTGCCTTTGCCAGTGAACACAAAACACGGGGAAAAAAGAAAAAAAGAACAAAACCAAAACAAACTTCTTACTTGGGATTTTTTTTTTGTTTCCCACAGCATTCTGAACACTGCCCCAAATTATATGAACTATTTTCAGTAGGTCAATGCAATATCAAAAGAGCAAGCAGTGTGCTTGGAGGGCTGAGCAGCAGCACAGGGATTAGGAACACGAATTACAGTTTCAGGAGAGGACTGGATGATAAGCATGGAAACCATAAATGCTATTCCCTTTCTCTCTCCCTTTCTGAGTAGCATCTGGATGGTTTCCCCAAAGATCAGCTGTGCTTCTCCTTCCTCTCTGTTCCTGCCTTTCCCTCTCACTGACTCAGATAATTTCCTGATTCCTTCTGATTCTGGCATGGAGGAGCTTCACATTTGTGCTCTGTTCCTCTGCCTACTCAAAGCCTGGCAGAAGGTACAGCCTCACATAAACTGGGTGGCATTGCTACTCCAAATTGTTCACAAATAAAACTAACAGCTCTTCAGAAGAGATTGCTATCAGCTTGTGATTAATGTGCATTCCACCATTCAGCCACTAATTACCTTTAAAGAAGGATTTGTCAGGCATTGACAAATGGAGCTCTAATGGAGCTCATCCTACTTTTTAATTGGTGGAAAATCAGCCATCAAGAAACATAGAATATCTGATTTTCCAATTAGATTCTGCTATAGTTTGGAACGTGTTTTTATTGCAGAGATACGTGCCCAGCTGCCTGAATATTGCTTGGACAACAGGCTGAAAGATCTGTTCTTCACACTAGCAATCACCTTATTTTTCTCCATGCAAATCGACTCAAAACTTAAGCAACAGATTGAACTTACAATTTAATGGAAACTACAACAGTGACAAAGAGTTGCCAATGATAAAGATCAAGAGGGGGACATGGGAGAGCCCCTGTGATCAGTTGTTGCTTGGTTGAGCTGCACGCTACAGCTTTCCAATGAAGTTATCATGCAAAGAATAGCGTGTGCAAAGATGGTGTCAGATGATACCTGCCCACAGGCCACACTCT